TACAGCACCTCCCCGTTGCCAAGGCATCCAGCGTGACCGGCCCCACAGGGACCACTCTAGACACAGGCTTCCTCTTGACATTCACCCCCCCCCGCCCCGCCCTTTGTGTATTAAACAGCAGTGCATCACTTACAAGCTGAAACGAATTTTGACAGAGGTGCAAAAGCAAGTCAACGAAGGGAGGAGAGCCTTTTCAACAAATGGTGATAGAGTAATTGGACATGATTGGTAAAAGCATGAACTTTGACCTAAAGATCCCACTTTATATGAGAATTAACTCAAATGGATCATGGACTTACATGTAAAATGATAAAACTTTTAGGAAAATTTTGTGAGAAAATTTCTGAGAAACCTTTAGGATCCGGGGCTGGGTAGGTAAAGAGTTTTTAGACATGATACCAAAAAGCATCACCCATAAAAGGAGACTCATAAATGGACCTTATCAAAATGAAAAACTGCTTTGCAAAAGATGCTATTAAGAGGAGGAAATACAAGTTACAGACTGGGAGAAAATACTTCCAGACACAGGTCTGACAAAAGACTAGTATCTAGAATATCAAACGATCCAATTAGAAAGTGGGAAAAAGGAACAAACAGTTCACCAAAGAAGGCATACAGGTGACAGATAGGCACAAGGGCGTTCAACATCGTTAACCATTAGCAAAATGCAAAATAAAGCACGGTAAGTTGTCAAGGCACGCTTATCAGAATGACTAAAGTAAAAAAAAAAAAAATAGTGACAGCAGTAAAAGATGGCGACGATGGGGAGAGAGAGGATCATTCATACGTTGCTGGTGGGAATTGTAAAATGGTGTGGCTGCTGCTGGGAGTTTCTTAAAAAGCTACACATGCTCCATGCATACCACCCAGAAATTGCACTACGAGGCATTTTTCCCAGAGAAACAAAGATTTATGTTCACACAAAAACCCGTACATAAATGTTCATATCAGCTTTATTTGTAATAGCCCCAAACTGGAAACAGCCTAGGTGTCCTTCAGTGGATGAGTGGATAAGCAAATCACGGTACATTCCTACCTTGGAATGCTTTTCAGTGATAAAAAGGAATGAGCTATTGACATACGCAGCTATCTGGGTGAAGGGGATTGAGTGGGGGAAAAAAAAACCCTCAATCCCAATAGGGTCCATAAATTATTCTGTTTGCAGTATTTTTTGAAATGACAAAATTTTCGAAATGGAGGTTATATGAGCCATGGCTGGGATGGGGAGGAAGAGTGTGGGCCAATAGGAGGGATCTTGTACAAATAAAATTGGGGAAATCTGAACAAGACTAATGGGTTGTATCGATGTCAATATCCTGGTTGTGATGTTGTACTAGAATCTTGCCAGATACCCCTGGGGAGAACTGGGTCCAGAGGACACAGATCTCTCTGTGTTATTTCTTACAGTCATATGTGAATGTAAAGTTATCTCAGCAAAAGTAAAATAAAAACATTTTTAAAACTGACACATAGGTACAGATACCATATGATTCCACTAATATGAGGTACTTAGAGAAGTCAAAATCATAGAGACAGAAAGTAGATGGTGGGAGCCAGGGGTTGTGGGGAGGGGATGACAGCTCAGTGTTTAATGGGGACAGAGTTACAGTTTTGCAAGGAGAAACAGTGATGATGTTTGCACAATAGGACTGTATTTGATACTCCTGAACTGGGCACATAGAAATGATTAAGAGGGCACACTTTACATTATTTGTATTTTACCACAATTTTAAAAATTGGGAAAAGCAAAAGCAATACTTGTGTATTACAGGAAACTTAGGAAGATAGAAAGAAGGAAAAATATCTCCTCTGGTTCTCATCCAAAGATGACCTTTTCTAACATTTTGTTAGATTTGGTTGCATACGGTTGATTATTGTTTGTTTTAACATAGTTGTGACTCGTGAGCTAAATAATTCTGTGGTCTGCCTTGCTCATTTAACACATCTCGAGCACTTTTCTTTGTTATTGTAAAGACTTTATAAACAGCATTTCAAAACAGCTTCAGTATGTTCTATCAAATGACTGTTCCAGAATTTGACCACTATAGAATTTTCTTCTTATTTTGTACATGTTTATTTATTTTTGAGAGAGAAAGAGGGAGAGAGAGAAAGTGCTGGGGGAGGGGCAGAGAGGAGAGGGAGATGCAGAATCTGAAGCAGGCTCCAGGCTCCAGCTATCAGCACAGAGCCTGACACAGGGCTCGAACCCACGAACTGTGAGATCATGACCTGAGCTAAAGTTGGATGCTTAACCGACTGAGCCACCCAGGTGCCCCTGTTTCTACTTTTTTAAAATCATAATTTACACTAGGCTGAATGTACATTTGTATTCAAAGTAAAGTCAGTAATATTTTTAACATGTTGATTGAGGTATAATTGACATACAATAAATCACACGTATTTTAGGCGTACAACTTGGGAAGTGTTGACATCTGTGTACATCTGTGAAACTATCACATCTAAGATAATGAAGATTTCCATTAACCCCAAAAGTCATGCCCCCTTGTAATCACTCACCCCTGTTTTTAGTCTTGTCACCAGGGAACTACTGACCTGTTTCCTGTCTCCGTAGATTACTTCGCACTTTCTAGACTTTTATATAAATGGAATCATAAAAATGTACTCTTTTTCTCTGGTTTCTTTCACTCAGCATAAAAATGCTGAGATTCATTCACGTTGTGTGTATCACTAATTCAATCATTTTAAGGCCGAGTGGGCCTCCATTGAATAGATGTATTGCATTTTGTTCATTGACCTGCTGATGGATATTTGAGTTATTTCTAGTTTGGGGCTATTTCCAATAAAGCTTCTATGAATATTCATGTGCAAGTCTTTGTATGGATAATATGTTTTCCTTTCTCTTGAGTCTGTACCTATGAGTGAAATAGCTAAATCATACAGTAGGTATGTGTTCAACCTTTTAAGAAATGATCACACTGTTTTCCAAAGTGGTAGTCCCATTTTGCATTCTCACCAGCAGGGGGCGAGAATCACTTCTTCCCTCTCCTCGCCCACACCTGGTGTTGTCCCTCTGATTACTTTTCGCCCTTCCGATAGGTGCCTGATGGTATCTTATTGTGGTTTTGATATGCATTTCCCTCATTCAAGCATCTTTTCATGTGCCTGTTTACTGTTAATGTATCTTTTCTGGTGAAGTGTCCGGTCAGATCTTTTAACGTTTATTTTACGTTGACTTTTGGAAGTTTTTATAAATTTATTCTTGTTACAAGTCATTTATCAGATGAATGCTTCTCAGAGACATTTCTCCCAATATGTGGCTTGTCTTTTAACAGTGTGTTTATAAGACCAGAGCTTTTTCTTTTCTTTTCTTTTTAGAAGTTTTTCATGTTGGGGCGCCTGGGTGGCGCAGTCGGTTAAGCGTCCGACTTCAGCTCAGGTCACGATCTCGCGGTCCGTGAGTTCGAGCCCTGCGTCAGGCTCTGGGCTGATGGCTCGGAGCCTGGAGCCTGCTTCCGATTCTGTGTCTCCCTCTCTCTCTGCCCCTCCCCCATTTGCACTCTGTCCTTCTCTCATAAAATAAACTTAAAAAAGATTTTAAAAGAAAGAAATCTTTTCCAATTCCTACGCATTCTCCTCCACGTTTGTAAGCATTAGGCTGTACGCTTACAAAATAGCTCTGATCCGTTTTGAGTTGGTCCTTGGAAAACCACGCGCGGTGTGGACCTGAGTTCCCTTTTCTGCTTCTGGGTAACTAGTGGTTCCGACAGCGTCTGTTGAAAGGATTTTCACTGTTGAATTGCCTTCCCACCTTTGTTGCAAATCAGTTGTTCGCACACGAGCGGGTCCGCGTCTGGACTCCCTACGCTGTTCTGGTGAGCCTGGGTTGATGTCCGTACCACACTGTCGTGATTACTGCCGCTTCTGAGTGCGTCTCAATGTCACAGGTGTGAGTCCTTCACCCTGGTTCCGTTTCAAAGTTGTGTTGACCCTCTGGGTCCTTTACGTTTCTATATAAATTGTGGACTCGGCTTTGTCATTTCCGCAAAAGACCCCCCCGTGATTCTGACTGGGATTGCCGCGAATCCGTGTGTCAGTTTGGGAAATAATTACCGTATCTGCCGTGTTGTCCTCTGACCCACAAACACGGTCTGGCTCTCCCTTGATTGGGGTCTGAATTAGCTGCAACAGCATTTTGCCGTCTCTGGCTGTACAGGGCTTTTGTAGGAGTTAGCCCCGTGAGCATCTCCTCTTTCGTGTGCCCTCGGCAAAGCTGTGGGTAAGCCGTCTCCGTTCGCCGTTGCTCAGGAAGCTGCCTGCAGAGCCACAGTGAGACGGGCCCCCCAGGGGCCCTGATCCTCAGCTCTGGGCACAGGCAGGGAGAGGCAGGATGCCTCCAGGTGCCCCCTCAACACCCTCTCTCCTTCCCTCCGTCCAGAGAGAGTCCACATCTCCACGCCCAACAAGTACGAGTTCCAGTACGTGCAGCGGCCGCTGTGGCTCACCCGTTTTGATGTGGCCGTGCGAGCCCACAATGATGCCCGCGTGGCCTTGTCCGCCGGACCCCAGGACACAGCGGGCATGATAGAGATTGTCCTGGGAGGGCACCAGAACACCAGGTCCTGGATCTCCACCAGCAAGATGGGCGACCCCGTGGCCAGCACGTACACGGCCAAGATCCTGTCCTGGGATGAATTCAGAACGTTCTGGATCAGCTGGCATGGAGGGTTCATCCAGGCATGGCTGGGCTGGCTGGGGTGGGCGTGGGAACCCCGGGCTCCTTGGCATTTGCTGCTTCCTTCTCTGTGTCCAGCTCTTAACAGGGGGCGAGGAGGGGGCGGGGGTGATAAACACAGGGCGCAACCTCAGGTTGCTCGCAGTCTGCCTAGAGTCACTTATAAAAAAAAATAAAATAAAAAGGTGAGAGCTGTGGTGGTGGAAGCACCCAGGGGACCTGGGAGCTGAAGTATAGTGGGTCGTCGTGGGGAAGGAAAGTGGATATAAGCAGGTGAAATCGAGGCTGGGGCATTTTACGGGCCAGGCAAAGAGGACATAGGAAAGGAGCAGCTAACAGCTTCTTAGAAGAGGGACATAGCCAAACTGGGTTTTGAAGCCTGCATAGGAGTTCACCAGGCAAACTACGGAGTGGAGGATGTTCCAGGCAGAGGGCATAGCATGTGCAAAGGCCCAGGGGTTCCAGGGAACTGATGACTTGGCAAACTGTACGTGCTATGCTCGTGTCTCTTGTTGGCCATTTAATGGATGAGGTGACCCTTGGTTTCTCTGTGAGCCCTGTAGCCAGTGTCACTGCTGCCTGAGCGCTTCCTTTCAGCATTCAGCAGCCAGCAGCCTTGGCCTCTTTTTCCAGGTTGGCCATGGCCCAGAGCCTTCCAATGAGTCTGTCATCATGGCCTGGACCCTCCCCAGGCCACCGGAGGTCCGATTCATCGGCTTCTCCACTGGCTGGGGCTCCATGGGTGAGTTCCGCATCTGGAAGAAGGTGGAGGTGGACGAGAGCTACAGTGAGGCCTTTACCCTGGGAGTCCCGCACAGCGCCATCCCTGGGTCAGAGCGGGCAGCAGCCTCTGTCATAGGTGCGTCTGCCCTGTTGCTGGCTTGGGGAGTATAGAGGCGAGAACTGAGGCCGAGGGGCAGGGTATCCGCCCCGGGCTTGGTCTCGCATCAGCCTGTGCTGGGAATCTGTGCCCCTGGGGCCTCACCTGACCAGCCACTTTGGTGCTTCCTCCATGCCGGGGCAGACCCTGAGATGACCCCAGCCCTGTCCTTGAGGAGTTCCCAGTCTGCCCACCCAAGGCCTGTGTGAAGCAACCCCGAGGGGCAGGTGGCGAATTCCATGAGGGCAGTGAGCATGGGGTGATGTGCAAGAGGACAGAAAGTGCGGGTGAAGTCAGCCGGGTGCGGGGCAGAAGGTGGGGGTCCTGGTGAGGGGGGCAAGTTTCCAGAACGTTTCCTGAGCAGAAGC